AAAATTATATATTATTTCAAATTAAAAATTTAAATAATAGATTAAATGTACCTTAAAAATTTAAATCTTTCTGATTAGATTCCTTTTGTTTGAAAGTGTGTCTCCACTTTGAGAAAAAGTCAAAAGCAGTAGGTGCAATTGCTTTTGATGGGACCCTTACTCGGACAACTTTTGAATTTTCTCTGTTATTTTATGTCGTTTTATGAGATGAAGCACGATGGAGGATATTTACTGGAGGTAGATTCCTTTGCCAGCTAATGTATCTTATTTTGTTAAAAACATAAATTAAAAATTAAAAAAAAAATGGCAATGATCCAAGTTAAATGGAGCTGACTGTTGACCTCTAATCTGAGCCACGTGAGAATGAGAGAGATGGTATAATTTATGCAATGAACATATTATTAGTTTACAAAAAACATTTTTTATGGGATAATTAACATTATCGCCAAGCTAAAAGGGAAATGAACGTTTGATGTTAATCATGTGTAACCTTTTTTTTTAAAAAAAAAAAAAAAAACAATGGGTCTGAGTAGTGGTGGAACTTCGGACGACGAGCGTGTCCGATGCCTAAAAATTTTTAGGCTCGGCAGGCAGACACCTGTCACCACCCGTCCACGTAAATTTCTCAGGCTTAGGTTCGCGTAGCCCGAGAAAAAAACATTCCCCCGCAGCCCGCCGCCGGTGGGGGGGCCGTGACCGTTGGCCACCGCTTTTTTTATTAAAATTTTTCCACCGTGCCCGAATACCAAAAAAACGGCTAGTTTTTTAAATTTTATGCCCGACCCGAACCTGATCCAAATATTTTTTTGACCGTTAGCCCGATTTGCTCCCGAATTTTTAAATGTAACGGCTATATCTGCCCGACCCAACCCGCCACCCGTTTTGCCAGACTACAACGGCTCTATTTTTTACCGTTGCCAGAGAAACTCGAAGCCCGACCCGATGAATTGAAGTTACCGTTGGAGCATAATTTTTGAGGGAAATTTTTTTTTTCAAGCCAAAAAATTCCCTATATCCCTCTCCCAACCATTTTTCCTACCCAAAAACTCTCATCCTCTCTTAATTTCTCTCAATCTCTCTTAATCTCTCAAAAATCTCTCTCGATCTCTCTTAATCTCTCTCAAAGCACTCTCGATCTCTCTTATTTTTCATAATGGATTCTTCCGGTTATGGTGGTGATATTCCCGTTGATGCTCAATTCAACATTGAAGAAAGACAATTTCCTACTAATGTTTTTCAAACGTAGGAATCGCAAGCACCAGAAAGAGCCGTTGAGGAAACTGCAAATCTGAGCCGTGGTGGATGTACTAGAGGTCGTGGACCTCATGGTCGTAATGATGGTGGGCGTGGAGGAGAGGCAAGTGCTAGTACAAGTGTTGCAAGTTCTAAGAAGAAATGCAAGCGCACATCAACAGTTTGAGACCACTTCAACACATTCGAGGAGGTCAACAATGACGGTAACATTAAATACATATCTCAATGTAAATATTGTGGTGATAAATTACAATGTAGCATTATTCACGGCACAACACGCTTGAGAAGACACTCCGAAAAGTGTCTTCAAAAGTAGTCGACACTAGTGAAATGTTTGATTTGGTTTAGTGGTGGAGGGCGCGAGCATTAACTTGGCCGATCCTAACTCGACTGACAATGGATATTTTTTCAATCCCAGTCTCCACTGTTATATCCGAACAAGCCTTCAGTACGACCGGCTAAATACTTGAGGAACGTAGAAACACATAACAGGACATTGTTGAAGCTTTGGTGTGCATTAAGGATTAGGATCGTTCCGACCAACGCTTACACGATACAATTTCGCCAGCAAGCCAAGAATGGATCGATGAATTTAATAGATTAGCTTTTAATTTTGAAGACGATTCTTCAGCTTCAAATTAAATTCTATTATTGTAATTTGTAAATATTTATTTACTTTGTACAGTATTATTGTAATCTTGTATAGACTTTGTAAGTTCGTTAAATTTATAATTCGTCCCAAAATGATTGCATTTTTTTTCCTTACCAAGTTTTTATCCCAATTGGGTTTCTTGGTAAGGTTTTTAACGAGACAAACATAAATTACAAATTTAAAAATTAATAAATAAATAAATTTTTATATAGTTCGTGTGCATTTCAAATTTCAAATTATAATCTCCCTTATAATTTTTGTATAATGTTTACAATAAATAACTTAAAAAGTATTTATATACATACCATATACAATTAATAAAAAAAATTATATATAATATATGTAATAGTATATAAATATATAAAAAATATTAAAAAATTAGGTCGGGCACCTCGGGCGGTCTCAGGCTGCCCAACCGGGCTCTGGCAACCAAAACTTGTCCAAAGGCTTACTTGGGTCAGGTCGGGTCGGGTAGCCTGAAAATTCGGGCTCGGACGGGTTCAATCATCGGGTAAAAATTCAAAATTTTCGGTGGTCATGGGTGGCTCGTCCAAAATTTCAGCACTAAGTCCGAGCTAATTTTCTCACACCTCGATTAATCCAATAAAATTTTCTAGTCGCTTTTTTCTTTTTAACTATTGTCTATTAATAAACTATACACAAATAACACGGATTCTCTTTCCTATACAAATAAGATAAGTCGCTTATTTTTTATACATATTTAGGCCTCATACAGTTCACAGATTTCAGTTTTTAATTCGAGCTAAGATGTGATTTTGTGTGAGAGCTTTCACTGTAGTAAAAAAAGTTAAATGTGACTTTTTGTGAGAGCTTTTAACTATAACAAAATTGGAATTGAAAACTCAAATTAGTGAAATAAACGAGGCATTTCACTATTATGGGCACCTTACTACAAAAAAAAAAAAAAAAAAAAATCGTTCTTCTCTCTATTTCTCTCGGTTTTTCTTTAAAAAAAAAAAAAAAAAAAAAAAAACTGCTTTGTCGCTACTAGTTTCATTCTCTCCCACCCAAGAACATAAAATTTAAATGAGAACAAAATATAGTAGAAAGCCTTGGTAAATATTTTGAAGATTGAATTCATATTTTGCATTCCTTAGAGAAACAAAGAAGAATATTATATATAGCCTTCTTCTCTTATCACTTTTCGTCTAGCTCTAAGCATTTTGATCCGAAAACATTCGCGAAATATTATGGATCTGAAGAACGATCTAGACCACCATCACTTGTTCATTCCAATCAAATGAAAAATGATCATTCAAAGCTTTCTATTACTTGGATATAATTACTCAACGAATTAATCTTTTCTATAGCAAAATGAATCAAATAAAAAAGGGATCCGGTTTAGTTCTTTTGTTTCCCCATTTCTTGTGTGATGCGAATGTAGTCTTTTTTTTTTTTCTTTATGCTCGCAGAAAAGTCTAAGGACAGGGCAACTAGTGTTAACATATCCCTTTGAGCTATTAAAGGCGCGGTTCTAAGCACTCTAAATCGAGTATTAAACTAATAGGAAACGAATACTTTTAAAAAAGTAACCTAACACCCGAGCATGTGACCATAAACCCATCACAATACTCCATTGCCGCTAAGCCACCATACTCGGTGATCGAAGTGAATGTAGTCCCAAAATGAAAGTGTGTATGCGAACCCATCTATTCTCCATCCCATGCCTCGTGCTCAAGCTTTCTTCGTCCACTTTTTGTCATTCAGGGGCATGCTAAAAATAAACCCTCTTTTACAAGCAGGATAATACGTTCAAAAAATTTCCCCCTTGTGTAGGAGCTAGAGACAAAATGAGGCTGAGAATGTATGATATGGTGTATCTAATTCCTATAGGACGTTACTACTTACTATCATGAACTATTATGGTTTGACCCAATTGTCAAAATTTGTTTCCTAGGAAAAAGTTAGAGACAAAAATGTCCTCAAAAGTTCAACAATTCTTTAGTTCTCACCACGTATGACCTTCGTGGGTAAAAGAAGAGACTATTTTCTTTAGGGAAAAAGAAGAGACACTATTGATATCGCGTCTTTCTAAAAGAGAAAAAGATCATAGTAGACTATAATAAATATCATATTATAGCTAAGCATTCTTAATTAATCGTCATATTCTTATCAAAATTCATTAAATTGTTATAATTTTTAAAGTGATAAAATATCATATATAACGGTTCAAAACCATATTATATTATGAGTAGGATATATATGCCCTTAGAGTTGTCAAATGGGTCAGGCCGTACATGGATGGCCCGGCCCAGCCCGTAATAGTGTTTGATTCGGCACGGCCCGGTACGATACTGTAACGGACTGTGCCGGCCCGACACGTTTGATGGGCTATTTGGCCCTTGTTTGGCACGGTCCAGGCCCACGAAACGGCCTGCCAAAAAGTCCTCCAGCCCATGAGAAATGTGACCGTTGGGCCTTCGCGGGCCCAACGGTCACAATCTGAAAAAATCTCCCAAAATTCCCTATAAATACCCCTTAATCTCAAGCAACCGAATTCTTGACGAGTAGAGGAGCAGAATGCATCTAGATATCTTGGAGGGACTAATGTGCGTTAAAGACTGAGAAGATGCCAGAAGATGAAAACAACAATATACGGATGATTCAATGCAAGACTATTTTTCTAACTTAGAAATAACAGAATCTTCTTGAAGCACTTAGGTTTTGTAATTTACTTATCCTAAAATACTGCACTCTTTTTTCATTTGCTAAGGTTTTGTCCCGATCTCCCCACGGGTTTTACTTGACAAGGTTTTTAATGTGGCATTCATTTATGTGTTTATTGGTACTATCTCAATGCAATAAAATCACATCTTTTGGGGGCATATGATATATATATATATTTTTTAATTAAATTTTACAAAAAAATTACAAGGGCCAGGGCCGGCCCGTGAAGGGCCTGGGCCCAAGCCCTGCCCTTATGGACTAGGGTCGTGGGCCAGTTTTGGGCATGAGAATTTCTCCTCAGGCCCGACCACTGTGCAGGGCCGTGCCAGGCACGGCCCAGGCCCGTCACGGACCTGGGGTCAGTCATGCCGTGCTGGCCCGGGACGACACGTTTGACAACTCTATGCCCTTTGACAGAATTATATGCATAAATAAATTGTAATATAATTATTTAACCATCTTTTTCTTTAATTAATTACTTAACAATCTAAAACAACACAATAATACAATATCAATAAAGCACTTTTTTAATCTTCTCATGTAAAAAAAATTTTACAATGTTCGGTAAACAAACACGTTTCACTTACTTTTGCTTTCAATATAATTTGCGTAGTGTCACATTTCACTTGACCGTACAATCATGTCATTAACAATACAATCATATCATGAAAGTGAATAAACTTTTATTGGAACCAAATATCTAATTACTTAGAGCGTGAGTCCTGACATTTGTGACCAGTGTTGACTGTTGACAGATAGCCAACGTGATACTATGAAAAGGTCACACTAGGTGACTGCCGTTGTTAGTCACCATTGAGTCACAAGTGGTCACCCATCGGGTGACTCTTATTACCAGGGCCCAAAAAAAATAAAAAATACCATTCAATATAGTAAAAAATATTATTTATATCATTAAACTAAAAAAATAAACAATTTTTATTAATTAATAAAGAAAAAAAAAGTCACCATCATTGCCAACTTAACCATAAGGGAAGTTAAGCCGTTGCTTAACGGCCCTAATTTTATGAATTTCCTTTTTTTTTCTAGTCTATATTTGGGAAATAGTAGGAAATAGGTCAATATGAAAAGCTTAAGAAAGTATATAGGCCATTTTTTAGTTATAGGAATTAATAGGTCATAATTTGTTAAGTTATGGTTCATAACCAGATAAGTTATGGACAAACTTGTTATGTTATAGTTCATAACCAGATAAGTTATGATTATGGTTCATAACCAGACAAGTTATGGACGAAAACAGTAATTTAGCCTATTTATTAACTTATGTAAACTATTAACCTATTAATTTTAATTCATCTCAAGTCTTGCCCTATTTTCCTCTTTCTCCCTCTATATTTTAACATTTAACAATCCTCTATTGTTATTTCGATTTTCTTTTTTTTTTTTAATAAAAGATTTCAGAAGCCAAACGGTCTTTTTTTTTTTTCCTACAGGATTAGTCGATGGCTTTATCTTTTGGGAAATCACTTATGATTTCAATGACTTTTAAATATAAGGATACTTAAACGTCTCACTCATATAAAACCGAAAATATTTCTTTTAATTAAGGAAACAGTGTACTACTTATTGAAGTGTTAACTAAGAAAAAAAAGTCAAACGATTAACAATAACAGTAAGTTTTATTTTCTTAAAAAAAAAAAAGAGCCATTAAGTGGGTTAGCAATGTTGTCTATTAAAAAAGATTTATTGGATAAACTTGAATAAAAAGATCTATTAACACTTTTGCATTCAAAAGGCAAGAAAAAGTTTTTTGAGTAGATATTTCATTATTATTATTGTTATTTTGTATATCTTGTTATTTTCTTATC